AAACCTTCAATATGACGTACAGTGGAGTTTTACTCCAGATCACTTCAGATTGGAACTAAGCAATAGATAGATAGAAAGATAAATATAGATATAGATAGAATATTTACTAATAAAAATAACTTTTGTTTGATTTGTATTATTACAATGGGAAAGTCAATATCACTCAGTTGATAATTCAATAAAATATTCATATGTTCTATGGCGGTACTGAGTTCGTCGATAAGCTAGTTGGCGGATTGGGGAACGGCCAGGGGACTGGAGGCCCAGTCCGGGAAGCCAATGTGGTCTTACGGACGGGGTCGCCGGACTCCTGGTCAGTGGCAGAAATGAGTAGGGTGGGGGAAACTAAAACTCCCCAAAAGCTTTAGCAAAGCATGCCACCGTGGACCAGCCTACCCAAGCCAATGTGGCCTTACGGACGGGGTCGCCGGACTCCTGGTCAGTGGCAGAAATAAGTAGGGTGAGGGAAACTAAAACTCCCCAAAAGCCTTAGCAAAACATGCCACCGTGGACCAGCCTACCCAAGCTAAGGTTTAAGGAATCGTGCAGACAGTTGGATGGTGACAGGCGGTTACCAACGATCCCCTTGGGGAACTGGGCGAAACCTCATTGTAATCTGGTTATACGGAGCTCTGCCAGAGGTGACTCACTCTTCTCTTGCTACTCGTGGGAACACACATGAATGAAACAAACACAAAAATAGAAACGACAAAAACCAATCCAGAGGCTGGACAGAAGTGATGGGGATGAACAGAAATATCCACCCCAATCTACCGCTTGGAAGGAGGCTGGACATAGCAGATCACCTTGCTCGCTTGCTTTGCTTTGCTTGATAACGTTTATTCATTATCAGGGTTAGTAATTTACAATGTTTTTTGTTTTTTGAATATTTATGGGACCCTGCTATAGGTTTCAGGGATTACGATTTTATCCTATCAGTGTTAGTATGTAGATGAACTATCATTATGGTTTATAAATAATAAGTATGAATAGTAAATTCGGTTGTCCTGGTTCTTTGCTGTGGTCGGTGTTCATGGGAGTATGGATTTGTGTTGAGTCTGAGGTGTTGTTGGTTTCATTTGAGCTCTCAGGGCGTTCCAGGCTGTGATTTTCCGTTATCTGATGGCAAATGGATATTCCTCAAGGATATTCTGGAACTGCTGCGTAGGGTCTTCCATTAACCCCAGGAGTCTGACTAGGGGAAACGGTAGCTTTTTCTGTGGTATCCTTTTGGCGTCTTCGCGGGGCCTCCATGGGATGGTAAGCGTGTTGATGGCCGCGGTGTTTTGGCTTCTCATAGTTCTCGTAGCGTATCTGCCTTGGAGTTCCTGAAATATCAAATTGATCGGGGTGATATCTATTTGGTTGTATACATTGTGTGAGGGATATCTGAAGGCGACGTTATGGATGTTTCTTAGGATTTTTCTCTCGGTTCTTACTATTCGGTGGACTTGTCTTTGGGAGAGTGTGCTGTAAATCGTGGCTTTGTGGTCTACGACCGGTCTTATGAAGGTTTTGTATGTGTGTAAGAGAGTCTTACTGTTGCATCTACCAAGCTTGCCTCTCAGAGCTTTTAGGAGGTCTGCTCTTTTCCGGACTCTGTCCAGAGTTTCTCTGAGGTCGGTCTCCCAGTTCAGGGTACTTGTGAAGGTAACCCCCAAGTAGTAGACACCGAGTTCTGGAGTTCTGGACAGTCTGATGTTCAAGTCGTTAGTGTTAAGTTTAGGACATGTAGTGGTGTTTGGGTGTCTAAATAGGATTGTTTGGGTTTTGATGGGATTCATTTTGATTTGCCACTTGTTGCACCATTGCTCAAAGTGACCAATCATTGTTTGGGTTTTTGTTTGTAGGATGCGGGTACTGGTTGCTGATGCGTATAGGATTGTATCGTTTGGGTGATGAGAGTGTCGTGCACTGTCGTGGGGTGGGTGCAAGGCTAGATCCTTGGGGGACTCCGGCTTTGGGAGTATTTGGTAGGGATAGGGTTCCGCCGACTTTTACGCGGATTTGTCGGTTGGTGAGATAGGAAGCCACTAGTCTGATGAAGTGGGGTGGAGGTTGGATTTGAATTAGTTTCCAGATCAGGCCCGCGTGCCAGAGCTTGTCGAATGCTTTTTCTGTGTCTAGGAGGATGGCGACAGTACCAAAGGAAGAATTGATATTCTGGGAGATGTGTATATTCAATTGCCGATCACCTCGTGGCAACAACTATAGGTGCACCCTCCTCCTCCCCCACTCCACCCTCTAACTGGGAGGGCACTTCCTGAGGCGAACGCCAAGAGGAACCGGCTGTCCCTGCAGAAAAGCTCCCTCACATGTGCATCTTCACGGAGGGAACCCCAAAAATGTTGAAGAAGCCGTGCAACGACAGTAATGTCGCTGCGCCTTCCAAAACCTTCGCGGAGACCACCGTGAGATACCTCAAGGTTGTCAAAGAGAGTGTGTGTCCGGCAAGTCTTGGTCTACACCTGCCAATATGAAGGAGATGTCTCCTAGTGACCTGTCCACCTTCCTGGAAAGGACAGGATGGACGATGATGGACGATGTGGCCTAAGTGCTGTGGGTCTGCCCTCACCCTCCCTACTCTACAGATACAGATACAGAGAAATATTAGTTTTTCAACATTATGCCGCACGAAGAAATCAAAATTCACTGAATTGTGCTCATGGAAGATCACAACTGTGTCAATAAAGTTATCATGCGACATCCAAAATGCAACGTTATTCCAAGCATTTCAAGGCTGCAGTGATCATATGGTGAGATTTGCAGAGAGAAATGGTGGCTTAGCTAAGGCATAAAAATGTTTTTTTGAAAGTGATGCCACATGACTCTCTTTTCCACTTGATATTTTTCTGACACCCATCCGCCATCTTGAAATTGTTGCAAGAATACTGAATTGAAAAAGTGAAACTGACAGATGTGAATTTCATTCCCTCAAAAAGTGGGAGAAATGTAGATACTGCATTGAATATTTCAGAAATAGTCATCATTAATTACTACCGATATACTAATATTTGGGATTCCACATTGTTATTCATGAGTAATCCTATTTGTATTTACATCTAGTTTCCAAATCGTTTCGATATGCCTTGCTCAATCCTCTCCAATCCAACCTTAAAGTTGTAACCCTCAAAAGTATCTTTCCAACCCCCACTAAGTACATATACCAAACACGTCACACGCAAGAAGGTGGAATATTTGTTGTAGGTAAATAGTTCTTTGAATCCCTCGACAAGAAGCTAATATAAGGAAGTCAACATTATTCCGCAGTATGTGTATATCCGTCTGTGATACCAAGTTATCCGGATTTAGAACTTCTCGAACATGACACCCGCACTCATGTACTGAATATTTACACTTTCGAATATGGAGTTGTGCGAATCACTCAACTGGGATGGATTTTTCTGTGTGGAATAAAAGTTTCACTTTGAGTTGATAGAATATTCAATTTTGGGATTGAAAACCGTATGGAATAGTGATGAAATAATGACACCAGTTAGTGAAGAGCTTAATAGTATCACAAATCAAGCATGACTTGTGTGAATTCTAAAAATCATCAACCAGTTTTTGAGTTTATATTATAACTAGAGGAAAGAGCATCATTTATATCAACCTTTCTTATTGGTGAGTAATTCACAATCCATAACTCACTGAAGAGGTGAAATACCTTGGTACTATCCTCGACAGGAAGCTAACATGGAACTCTCACCTACAGAGTAGAGCAAAAAGAGCATATGTGGCTAATGAGCAATGTCGGAGGACAGTGGGACGCACAAGGGGTCTTTCACCCCGTGTGGTCACCTGGATGTACACTGCAATAATAACAATGCAATGCAACATCAGATTTCCATGTCATCAAAATCTTTTCATGAAATGACTTGATTTAAAATACTGCAATAATAACAATGCAATGCAACATCAGATTTCCATGTCATCAAAATCTTTCCATGAAATGACTTNACAGGAAGCTAACATGGAACTCTCACCTACAGAGTAGAGCAAAAAGAGCATATGTGGCTAATGAGCAATGTCGGAGGACAGTGGGACGCACAAGGGGTCTTTCACCCCGTGTGGTCACCTGGATGTACACTGCAATAATAACAATGCAATGCAACATCAGATTTCCATGTCATCAAAATCTTTTCATGAAATGACTTGATTTAAAATACTGCAATAATAACAATGCAATGCAACATCAGATTTCCATGTCATCAAAATCTTTCCATGAAATGACTTGATTTAAAATACATTTTAACCAAATCTTATTTATTTCAAATCCTCAATGATTTTCATTTGCTGAAAATAAATTATATAAAATGGCGAAGGTTCCGATGTTTGTTAAAGAGCCGTAATGATTCATCATTTCTATGTTATGAAAAATGAGACATAACATATGTTTTAATACCACTTCATATTCGTTTCTAACGTTACTGTAGTTTTGTCCTACAAGGATATTTCTAAACTTAATAATAATAATACAATAATAATACGAATTTATTCAATTTTCAGTACAAAAATAAGTCAATATCAATTTGAACAATCTGAACAAATTCAGGAAACCCTCAAAATACACCCTGTGTGTGGGTATTACTGTTCTATTAACAATATTCACAATATAAAGTACAATGTGACCTTCTCCTATATGAACGTCATTTTTGTGCGTCAAACACGTTCATTACAGATGATATAATCGGTGTTTTGACACGCGATGCCTCAATCGGATGAGTTATTCATTTTTCTCTTCTGTTTCTAAAATACGAATGGAAAAAATGTTGATCCAGCAGTGTAAACCCCACTCCTGACACCAATGTCGGGCATAATCGAAACGATAACTCTGAAGACCATCCCCGACTTTCTATGTTGAGATTTTCTCAAACTTTGCGAAAGTATTTCCAATTACAACTTCGTTTCGACAATTCCTTGTAGCCCGAATTCAAGAGCACTCACTAAAGACCATCATTTCATATCCCCGCAAACGAACAATAAAACTGCCACTTCAGTTTCCTGATCTCCGAAGAAAACAACTTTAAGCCCGACTCTATCCACGATCTGGCTAGGTGGAGTCGTAGACCATTAGGAAGGAATTCGAGAAGGAATAGTTCGGAAAAGTAAGAAACTGCTGCGCTAAACTTTCCATCTGATGGTATTAGGTTTGTATCTATATACAGGAGGAGAAAATCCAACGTAGAGACTCTAAAGCACTTCGTAATATTTTTGGATTATTATATTCTTGATGGAAATGTTCACCTCTAACAAATTATTTCTACACCACATTGAAAAGGCTGCGATGTCTTTTTAAACTAATTCAGCATCTTCTCGGCAAGTAATTGCTCGATAAAGTTTGAGATTATCAGCAAACATAAGAAATTCTGAATATTTGAAAACAATCTCTATGTCCGATACAAACAAGTTGAACAGCAGTGGGCCCATATGGAATCCCTGCGGTACCCCTGATGGAACCTGAATGGGCGTAGATGTTGTATCTCCATATTTTACAGACAGAGTTCTACCATACTTATGATGCACTGTTTGGGACGTTTGGTGTAGTAATGAATATTACTGGAGTTTTTTCCCCAACAACAAATCGTTATTTTTAACACTTCGACATGTGTTGCGATCACCAAGCGATCATCTTCAAGAGGAAGATTGAATAAACTTCCTTTCTGAAATACCATTACATGGTATTTCAGAAATGAATATAGTGTTGCAAAACATTGTTTTTCTACACACATATTGCATAAGCAATATAATTAAACAATTTTCTGCCACGGAAGTGTTCTCATTTTGAACAATGTGAAAAATTGTATCTACAAATATTTAAATTCTTCAAGTTGTTTCTGTATCCATTTTCCATTAACCAGCTATCTTTCCCCTACAAACGACAACCCTCAAGTCAATTCTTGTGCGATATACGGATCAATAAGGTCTTACCTCTTGATGTGCGATGCCAAGCATGGACTGTCGTTTCTTGAGAACTTGCGGAAATTCGCTGTTCAACTGATTCATTGACACGACTGATAAACTCATGAAGGAAATTCAATGTGGAATTTTTAAAGCACACCGTGAAATTAAATTTAGATTTCATCTTGGTCGTGACTGAGTAAAGTCGAGTCGTAAATATTTAATTCTCCTCGCAGATCAAATGGGTTACTAACTCTGTATCAAGCGTGGAGAAGGATGTTTTTTATTATCCTTCAGGTTGTTTTTAGAGGCGGTTGGGAATCAGCGGGAGAAGTTTGTATAATTCACAGGCGTTGTAAACATGTTTTGAGGTCTTGTGATGTAGGGGGTTTTTTATCAAACATTGTAGGAATTTCAGGAATCCACCCCCACGTCAACAATTTTTATTGATGTTATGCATTTTCATCAGAAAATACGCTGATATTGATATGAAGTAACGTGTCATTTTCAGATATTTTTCAGAATCTCCCTAGAATGATAATTTCTGTTTGTTTTACGTCTCACCTGATTTGAAGAAGTGAAATGAATTGAATGAAAATTTTTGTATTCAGATTCTGGAAATATATTCATACAAGATCGATGAAATCATTGTTGAAATGATGAAATCAGATTCATCTTTGAAAATGAAAATACTCACATGGATAAACATTCTATGTCTAGAAAACGGAGTACGGAAAGAAATTTTTGAAACCTTCAGAAAGGAAGATAGAAATGTTGTTCATAATAATTACAAGCTGATTCATATATGAACCTCAACCTACTTAGGCCAACCCACTACAAATGTTTCAGATTTTATGCACAGCAAAGGTGTAAACACTGCTTTCAAAACCAACAACAACTTGGGCATGTACATTATAAATAACAAAGATAAAAGTTCAGTTTCAGAAAAATCAGGAGTGAATAAATTATCGTGTGGGTCATGTCCGATGTTTTATATAGGTCAAACTGGAAGAACGTTCAAAACCCGCATAAAGAAACACAAATATAGTTTTCAGAATGGAAAAATAAATTCCACATATGCCAGTCATTTAATCTCAGAGGGACATGAGTTCAACCATGAATACAAACCCCTCCATTTCC